TTCCTTATGTAATTACATCATATTGAAGAACAAGCATTAAGTACATAAAAATGTATTCTATATTGGTCTGCTAGGCTTCAACTCAATTTACGTCAGGTGAATTAAAAGTAATTTGCTGTGTTTTACGACGCATTCATATCACAAATCGAGGAAACCAGAAATGATCTTCACACATTGTACTGGGTCTTCAGCGAACAAACATTTTGACCACAACACTACCCAACCAGCCACTATATATATATATATATATATATATATATATATATATACGGAAAGATTATACCGACAGCCAATTAGTTGGGGTCGTTACAGAGGGGTTTCAAGTCCGAAACCAAGAAATTGTCGGATGTAGATCCTAAAAAATAGTATTACTATCCAACGGATTGGGATTTTTTAACTATTAAGAACCACACCCGAGTAAGGCATTTCAAAGTATCGATAAAACTTCATACAACCTTAGCGAGATTATTGGGTTTTGTGATAAAGTCCGGTGAACACGTGTTTATGTTACACGAGAAAAAGTAGGCGGCTACCTTACCCCTACATACCCTTAAAGATCAAACATTCCATAACCTGTACCTGTACAGCGACATTATCGAGTTTCAAATTGTTGGGAATTGATAAACTCCATTACTCGCTCACGTACCCGTTAGTAAAGCTATGTTGGACGATTGTGTCTACGTCAAAGACTATAACCCTATCCTGTACGTACCATTCCGATACAAAACTGTCCGAAGTATTAGTATCTATAAAAAAGGCGATGCGGGCAAGAGTGGCATTTCAAAGTGGACGGTCGTGGGTTAAACTACACTTTCGAAAGAGAAGCGCATAATGCTTCATCCATATCGTAGAAAGAGACGTTCTCGACTTCAGTTTGGTGAGGGCGTACCCGTTTATACGGACGATATTTTCAAGCGAGCGGAGGATTTGGGAACATACTCGGTGCCTTCGGGAGAATTGCGTTACCTATGATAAAATCGATAGGAAAGAGTATGCTCAGAAGTGGAGAAGAAATTATCTAATGTCGTTCAAAATGTGGTGGAGGACGTTGTAAGTCCGCGGACAGGATTTAAGAGAAGAGCTTGGGAATTTTTGTCAGAAGGCGTTCGATCCGTGAACGGGTCAATACATGCCCCGCCGGCTAAAATACGCAGACAGAGGAAGAGAAATAAACCCCGTAGACGATGATTCGTACCGAGGCTATAGAATGTGCAAAGTCTGAATTAGACTTATTTTCAGTATCGGGTGTTATGACAAGCATGACCGATGATCAATGGGTGCTATATACCCCGACAACCTCCACAATCGGGTCTGGACCCATACGATTTGATATCCTAAATCCCGTTAATAGTTATATCGATTTAGCGCAGTGTTATTTGCAAATTGTTGTCAAAGTAACTAAAAGTAATGGCGACAATACAAACCCAATAGCATCGGGACAAGATAATTATATACCTCCGGACCACGTCGCGCCTATATATAATTCCCTTCACAGTTTTTTCCGCGATGTAAAGGGTACAACTCGGTCACAATCAGCATGAGGTCACGCCCAATCTCGGTACTTACGCCTGCCGTATTTATCTCGAATCGCTTCTGTCCTTCGACGAATAATCTAAACAAGAATCATGTCAAGGATGGCATATGGACGAAGCCAAAAAATTTGATGATCTCATTATGGACAATGCTCGCAGCAACTCGGGGACGAAAAAACGGTGGCAATCAATAGTTCCCATGCGTGAAGTAGAATACGTGTCAAGACTTAATTGCGATATATGTTTACAACGTCGTTATCTCATAGACGATGTTGATATAAAACTAGAACTAATTGGTTCATCGGATCAGTTTTGGTTGATGTACGCCAATGATGGCACTACTTATAAAAGTGAGATCGTCAGAGCAGAATTTTACGTCAGAGAAGTGGAGGTTTCGCTACGAATAAGAGAACTACAAAGTAAAGCTTTACAGAAAGGGATAACTGCAAAATACCCTATTACGCGAGTCAAGACAACTGTTCACAATCTACCAACGGGTGTAAGAGATTGTCATAATCAAGCTATTGTCAATGGAGATCTCCCGAAACGTATGGTCATTGGTTTGGTGCAAAATAATGCGTATGCCAGTACATGCCTTTTGAACCGTTTCAAATTTGGTCATCAGAGTTTGACAAATCTAAACGTAAAATTGAATGGTCAAGAGGTACACGGTAAATCTATCCACGTAGATTACGGCGACGACTCGTCCAGATTGTACAAAACTTGCTTAGACCTGTTTCGTAATGGCGGTGGACTGTGGCGAAATGGATTACACGGTATAACACCCGAACCCGCGGTTTTTCGCTGTACATTATCGATTTTAGTAATGATCTAGGCGCGAATGAAGGACATCACTACCCTAAACAATCGGGCAAAGTAGGAATTGAACTGTACTTTTCACAACCGCTAGCTCACCCTTTGACCATGATTACCTATTTCGAAATGAATAACTGTATTGAAGTGGACGCGTACCGTAACGTTATGATGACGTAAAGATGTTGTACACCTCGTATATAGAGGCTTTCGTGCGAGGCGACTACGAGTACAAGGACATCTACAAACGCACATTACCTTGGGATTATTTACTACTTACGCATAAACGAGAGACTTTACCGGCAGCCTATATCGTGAACACTGCGCCAGCTTCGCATTCGGGATTACACTGGATTTGCTTCTACGTACCGAATAAGGATACCGAAGAATGTTTTGCTTCATTCGGTTTGAATAATTCGCTTATGTATGCTGAATTCAATAGTTTTAAATATCTATACGGTAGAGGCGTGTACAAATAGTCTAGTAGAAAGCTTCAATATTACGATAGCGTTGTTTGCGGTTACTATTGTCTGTATTTTCTATATTATCGGTGTCAACACAACTCGATGAGTCGCATTTTAAACAGTTTCACTGATTATTGTACAATAAACGATGATATCGTACACTCTTGGTATTGGATAAAAAGCGTTAAAAACGTATATGCTACTAATTTGATGTGTATTCGGATATTAAAGCGACGTCTGGCTTTAGGTTAAACAGCTGATAATAAGTATGACGTATTCGTACATTCAATGTAATTGGGTGTGAATAGCTCCTGTCAACTGGTCGGTCAGACGTATTCAGCGTCTGGGACCCGTAATAACCAATATCGGGTGACTTACCGGTTATCAACGCCGATGCGGTCAGCGCCAAATTCGCTCACGCATGGTGCCATAACTATTGTTTAGAAGTGTCAGTTTCAAATTGTTAGCACCTATCGAGGGTAACTGAAACGGTAACATATTTCATAATACAAAAACCTGCTTAAATACGACATTCGAAAGCTCAAGTATAGAAGACAGTATCTATCCACGACATATTATACGTAGTCTCGCCTCTTATAGAAGGTCTACACTTTCCAGTAACGTTAAACAATCCGAGTTCAGTCTTTATCAAAGGTAGCAATTGTAGCATTGTTCTCCATAATTCCAAAGTCATTGCTATTCCTTTAATGGTCGCCTTACCGGCCAGAAACATTCTCGGGTCCAAAACTGTACGGTTTTCAACTCGACATACGTTTAGTCTGGTCACTGTCGACAATTTGAACTGATTAACCGAACATGTTTCGCAACGGGTGTTCAGACTTTTATAGCCTCAGATCTGGGTAGATATGTTAATGTCTGGAAAATAGCATTAGAGGATTCGATCGTCGGATTATTAGTTGTCCTTGTGATCCATTCGGCTACTGAAGAACCGGTTACATCATAACTTATAATCAGAATACGTTTCTTTCCTTTAATGGTCAAATTTCTTCCCAACAATCCTCAGAAATCAGCCAATGAGAGGACAGCAATTAAAAAACTGGCATACTACTGACCTGTTCAGATTAAATCTTGACCCATCAGTATACTGTCCCAGTATTGTATTCTGAACCTCAGATGTTGTCTACACCAAGCTAGGCGTGGCTGACGGTGACGTATGATCAATCTTGGGCGTATCAACAACTTGCCTACGGTTTTGCCACTAACTGGGCTCAGTAACTGTCTGAGCTGTTAATGTGGCAGTTTGGCATCGATTCCATAGATGCACCAACCGAATACGGTTGTCTTGTGGACGTGACAACGTCAAGTGAAAATTAATGCATGTGTGGCAGGTACCACTGGTGGGTCAGGATACCCTCATCTTCTTACTTCATCACTATATCATAGTTATTCATAAACACATGTTCATGAACACATGTTCCTAAACACATGTTCATGAACACATGTTAATAAACAAATGTTCATAAACACATTATCATGCTTTACGCAGAGATTTCATATGAATATGGAACGGGTTTTGTCGCTTTTATTATTATTCAACTAGGAAAAAAAGACCGATGCTTCTCAAGAACTGACAGAGAAATTAATCGACTCAGTGTGTTATTTGTGAGGAGAAATTCGCGAACACACAGTTGACAGTTTGCTTCTGTTTAAAGGTACCCGCTGGTCCCTGCACAGACATGTCTTGCAGTCTCGGTTCTAGGTGTATAGAGAGTCGATCTGGTAAAGCTGTCTGTGTAAAAGGTAATAGCCTTCCAGTTATCTTTTTTTCTTTTTTTTCTTTTTTTTTGGGGGGGGGAGGGGGGGGGGGGGGGTACAAGTACTGTTTTACTTAAGGGTTTTAGGGCAAATACTTGTACGTCTAGAAAAAGAAACAATACCTCCCAAGAAATATTTCCAATGACCAATTAGAATGTTAGACTGTAAGATAACGGAACTATCTATTGAATTAACCTTGATTTCCAACTTTCTTAAGTTATATTTGAGATGCCAAAAATTATGTTGGGATATGACGAGACTGAGTAATTTATATGTTTATGTAAAGCAGTTTTTGAAAAAGCAATTATTTGTTCAATTCTTCATGAAATAAATGTGCTTTAGAATGTTAACATAAATAGTACCAGTACTTCTTCACTAGCTGTGGTGAAACAAATATCAATAAACTTATTTCCAGATAGGGAGAAGTTCTATCCTTCGAGCTCTCAACAGCAGAAACGAGATCAGAAGAGAAAATCTGGAGACAACATACTCCATGAAGCCTGCAGGGAGGGTGATGTTAGCCGAGTGCAATACATCTTAACTGAAGGTCATGTTGACCTCAACAGTAGAGAGAAGGAGCACCGGATGACACCATTGATGTTGGCAGCACGTTGGGGAGAAACAGAGGTGTTTGACTTAGTCATGAGTAAAGGAGGCAATGCTTCACTTGTGGATATAAATGGTGATAACATCCTACATTTGGCCTGTCTTGGAGGACATGTGGAGATGGTGAGGTACATCGCCTCACAGAAGATTGTGGACATCAACAGTAGAGGAGTATACGGGAGGACACCACTGATGTTTGCAGCAATTAAGGGTCATAGAGGCGTGTTTGACTTAGTCGTGAGTACTGGAGGCAATGCTTCACTTGTGGATACAAATGGTGATAACATCCTACATTTGGCCTGTCTTGGAGGACATGTGGAGATGGTGAAGTACATCCTCTCACAGAAGATAGTGGACATCAACTGTAGAGGAATGGTTGGGAGGACACCATTGATGATGGCCGCAGGGATGGGACATAAAAGAGTGTTTGACTTGCTTGTTAGTAAAGGAGGTGATGTGTCTGCAGTTGATGTTAATGGTGGCACGATCCTGCACATGCCCTGTTTCAGTGGCCACATTGAAATGGTGAAGCATATTCTTTCTCAAGATATTGTAGATATTCACGCCAAGGACAAGGATGGGGATACGGCAGCGATGATAGCAAAACGTGGAAAGCACATGAAAGTGTACGACCTCATTATTTCGCAGGGCTGATTTGGAAACAAGCTGATGTTATATACAAACTGGCAGTCACTATAATTAATACGATTATTTCTTTGTTGAAAGTATTTCTTTCAATCTAGAAACGCATTCAAGTAAATTACTCAACATCATTGACACTTATTTCAAGAAAACTGTTTGAACCTTCAGAAAAAGTACAGACTAATTATGACCACTCATAGACTAATACCATGCAACAACTTCAAAACAAACCAATACAAACATTAACACGTATGTTACATAGTGTGCACGTGTTACCCTTCATCAGCACATGTGCTACATAGTGTCGACGTGTTACCCTTACAGAAACACATATGTAACACAGTGCGTACGCATTACCCTACATCAACACATATGTTACATAGTGTGCACGTGTGATCCTACATCAACACATATGTTACATAGTGTGCACGTGTGATCCTACATCAACACATATGTTACATAGTGTGCACGTGTGATCCTACAACAACACATATGTTTCACAGTGGACACGAGTTACCCAACATCAGCACATATTTTACATACTGAACATTTGTTACTCTTACAACAACACATATGTCACATGGTGTACAGGTGTTACCCTTTCAGCAACACATGTTACACAGTGTAAACGTGCTACCCCTACATCAACACATATGTAACATAGTGTGAACGTGTAACCCTACATCAACACACGTTATATATTGTAAACGTGCTATCCCAACATCTACACGTTACATAATGTGCACGTGTTACCCTACATGGGCACTTGTTACATAGTGTGCACGTGTTACCCTATATCAACACACACGTTACATACTGTAAGCGTACTATACCCACATAAACATATGTTACATAGTGTACATGTGGTACCCTTAAAGCAACCCATTTTATAAAGTGTACACGTACTATCCCTATATCAACACATATGATACATAGAGTACACGTGTTACCCAACATTAGCACATATGTTACATAGTGTACACCTGTTGCCCTTACAACAACAAATATGTTACATTGTGTGCATGTGTTGCCCAAAATTAGCACATTTGTTACTTAAGGATTGACTGTTTATTTTTTCGGTTCATTGAGGTATGAATAAAAAATCGATGTGGAAACTGTATGAAAGCTTGCAGATCGGGTTTTCGATTCATACCTGAAAAAACCGAAATAAAGTACACAGTCAATGCTTATAATTAAATTCGACAACGTAAAACATAATGTGCACGTGTTACCCTACATCAACATATGTTACATAGTGTTCTGGTGTTGCCTTCATCAATACATATTACATAGTGTCTACGTGTGACCCTCCATTAACACATATGTTACATAGTGTACACGTGTTACCCTTCATCAGCACATGTGTTACATAGTGTACACGTGTTACCCTTCATCAGCACATATGTTACATAGTGTGCACGTGTTACCCTATATCAACACATATGTTACATAATGTTCATGTGTTATCGTACATCAACACAAGTTACATAGTTTGCTCGTGTTGCCTACATCAATACATATTACATAGTGTATACATGTCACTCTCCATTAACACATATGTTACATAGTGGGCACGTGTTACCCTAACAGCAACACATATGTTACATATTGTGTACGTTGTAACCCAACATTAGTGCATATGTTACATAGTGTACATATGTTACCCTTACAGCAACACATTTTATATAGTGTACACGTGCTATCCCTACATCAACACATATGTTACATAGTGTACACGTGTTACCCTTACAACAACAAATATGTTACAGTGTGTACATGTGTTGCCCAACATTAGCACATTTGTTACTTAAGGATTGACTGTTTATTCATACCTCAATGAATCGAAAAAAAACCACAGTGAATGCTTATAATTAAATTCGACAACTTAAAACATAATGTGCACGTGTTACCCTACATGAACACATGTTACATAGTGTGCACGTGTTACCCTACATGAACACATGTTACATAGTGTGCACGTGTTACCCTCCATTAACACATATGTTACATAGTGTGCACGTATAACCCCTGCATCAACACATATGTTACATGTTGTACATGTGAGGCCCAAAATTTGCACATTTGTTACATAGTTACCTGTTACCTAACATTAACAATTAATTATATAGTGTACACGTGTTACCCTTCATCAACATATGTTACATATTGTGTACATGTAACCCTACATCAACGCATGCTGCATGGGGTGCACGTGTGACCCCACATCAACACAGATGTTACATATTGTAAACGTGCTAACCCAAAATCTAAACGTTACATAATGTGCACGTTTTACCCTACATGAACACATGCTACATAGTGTGCACGTGTTACCCGATATCAAAACACATGTTACATACTGTAACGTGCTATCCCTACATCAACACATGTTACATAGTGTGCACGTGTTACCCTACATCAACACATATGTTACATAGTGTACACGTGCTATCCCAACATCAACATATCTGTTACCCTTGCCTCAACACATATTGTACACGTGTTGCCCTTAATCAACACATATTGTACACGTGTTACCCTTACATCAACACATTTTGTACACGTTTAACCCCACATCAATACATTTTGTACACGTGTTGCCTTACATCAACACATATTGTACACGTGTTACTCTTACATCAACACAAATTGTACACGAGTTACTCTTACATCAACACATATTGTACACGGGTTACTCTCTCATCAACACATATTGTACACGTGTTACTCTTTCATTAACACATATTGTACACGTGTTACTCTTACATCAACACATTTTGTACACGTGTTACTCTTACATCAACACATATTGTACACGTGTTACTCTTTAATCAACATATATTGTACACGTGTTACTCTTTCATCAACACATATTGTACACGTGTTACTCTTACATAATCCCATATTGTACACGTGTTGCCCTTGCCTCAACACATATTGTACACGTGTTACCCTTACATCAACACAAATTGTACGCGTGTTACTCTTACATCAACACATATTGTACACATGTTACTCTTTCATCAACACATATTGTACACGTGTTACTCTTTCATCAACACATATTGTACACGTGTTACTCTTACATCAACACATATTGTACACGTGTTACCCTTACATAATCCCATATTGTACACGTGTTGCCCTTGCTTCAACACATATTGTACACATGTTACACTTACATCAACACATATTGTACACGTGTTACCCGTGCTTGAACAATATGTTACACAGTGTAAACGTGTTATTTAGCATCTACACCCTGTTTACCCGTGTTAATCCGTTCATCAAAGCATGCTGTACATATTGTACGTGTGTTCCCCTTATATCAACACCTTCGTGTGGATACCCTGGTATAAGTTGTTGTATAATTAATTATGCTGGACTCAAGATGCTACTTTGTGGATCGGGTTGGTCAGACTAGGTGACGTCGTTGATGTCGTGTCAATTTGCCCCGACGACGTAAGTTGCTGCATATAATATCAGTCACTGGATTGTCTTGTCCACACTCGAATATTTACAGACCGCCGTCATATATCTGGAACAATGCTGAGTGCGACGTTAAAATACAAACAAACAAACGGCCAGTGTTGGTGAGGTAATTAACTTTCATAGTTGTGCAGGTCTCAGGCGTTTATCACTTGGGTGAAACCAACGAGCAGGGGTATTGTGTGGATAAACATAATTAGGGCGAATCTGATATTCAAAGACCGATGGCTCCTAGCACGCATAAGGAACGCCCCACCTGTTACACCATACGAATGTTACACAGTAACCTACGTTTATAACGAACACGGTTATAACGAACTGATGGATATAACGAACTGGTTTTTTTTGTCCCGGCCATTTGCTGTATATATTATTAATATATGCTTATAACGAACTACGGTTATAACGAACTAACGTTTGTGGTCCCTTTGAATTCGTTATAACCGTAGTTTTCTGTACATCAGAACTGGTTGCTAATTGTAATCAGCTGGTGGGTTCTGCTGCACACATTCTATACTGTATCATGTCACATTTTCTCTATATTTTGTCATATATTGTAAATGTCCACGTTTAGGTGTTAGTTGGTGAGGTGAGGTGAAATTGGGTTTAACATCGCGTCCGAGATTATTACACACTATATAGCAACGTGCATGCACGTGTGTGTGGCTGTTTTTACTAGTCCGGATTGATTTCGATTTATAGTCCTGGCACACTGAGATACCATGCCGCAGTTTAACATGAATACCCCACTCAGACACAGTATAATGACTCCGAAGAAACCAGTCCATGTTTTGCCCCGTAATGCCAAGCGCCAGACAAGGCAACAACAGGTACTACCTTCTAACGTCTTTTTACATGACGCGGGATCGAACCCCGGATCTTCCACTCTCCAAGCGAACGCTCTACCACAAGACCACGGAGGCGGTCCTGTAGGTGTTCGTAATTAAACATTTAGATTAAAACTTCGAGCAGTTTGGGATGTGATGATTTAACATTATCTCCGCAAACCCACGAGTAGCTAGGTTTCTAGGTTCGTCAGCACCATGCCCGTGCTCTCGGGTTTCGCCGAAGTGTTAAATGCCTGAGACCTCCTTAATTTTTGGCTTTCCTCCCACATTAGGCTGACTCACAGTGATATAACTGGAATACTGTTAAAAGCGGCGTTAAACCAAACTCACTCACACACTCACTCACTCACTCACTCACTCGTTGACAAGTTAATAACAACAATATAACAACGATTTCAATATATAACCAACTATACCCAAGTTAGCTATTAGTGTTACACCACTGTTATCTATAAACACTTTGGTTAGCCGTTTCACATGGCTTGGGAGGTGTGTTCTCTTCTGACGTCTCGCAGATTCCGTTTTTATCTGTTTTCATATCACAACATATATACTGAACCGCAAAAGAAACGTCACCCCAAGTAACGTTGCATGAAAAGTTGACACTTTAATATCTGGGTAATTTTTGTCAAAGTTTCTAAAATTAGACATTACCCTGTCTGGGAAAAATAAATT